CAATTTCCGTCGAAAATCGCCAGTGAACAAGATACCATACCGACGGATACTGGTGCTGAGAGGCAGCCAACGACATTCGAAGAAAATGTAGTCAAGTTTTGCACGAGTTGAGAGAGTTCTGACGCGTCGACATTGGGAGAAAGCGAAAACAGGAGGTGTTGGCGAGAATACTGGCCAGCAAGCTGGGAAATATGATTCAAAATGGCCGTTGAAGAGCGGGAAAAAACGGTGCTCGCGTGAACCAACATAATTCGCTGGAAAAAAAGCAGGGAATTCTTCAAAGAAACGCAATCATTGGAACCCGACGCGAGTTCGACATAAAAGAAGGAAGGAAAGCGGGGCTGAGAAATCCGCGCAAATGTCTGTGGTATTTATAGGCTGTATTTTGGGCGGCATACACGGCAGGTGGCGGTCCGAGACCATATTTGGTGCCTTTCGGAGAAGATCTCAGGAAGCCGAGGCCCGGCACTTCGGTCCTGCTCGATCTATTGTACCGTAACCGGTCCGATCTCTGCAGGTACAAAAAAGTAGTGGTATAAAACGGCTGCGAGCGCCATGAGATCTTACCGAAGGGAAAAGACATCATACATCGACGAAATCAGAAGAGACTCCTTCGAAGGAACCATCGGGTCTTTATTCACATCATCCAGAGCCAAGTGAGGTTTCAACCCTTACTAGAGAGCCTCACAATATCGCCACGCCGTTTCGATGGTGAGGTTGGTCGAACCGCCCTCCCTCCCCTCCCCTTGCTAGGAACACGGTAGTTTCTAATATTCATGGAGAAAATTCAATCACGCTCGACAATACTACCTTATTGGCAAACACTCTTCTCGCAATTGTGCGCGTTTTAATGTCTCAAGAGATAAACATTGCGTTCTCTTTATCTCTTCTCAAGAGCCATGGATTGCATTCTCATTCAGTGCCACTAGCGAAAATGGTCCCTCCAAAGAGAACCCACGTACGAAACGATTACTAGAAGGCCGAATGTTTGTAATTATGAAAAGATGAAGGAAAAATGAAGAGCGCCAAGCTCGGACCGACATTCGTTCTACCTCAAGCGATTTAGACGATGCATCGGCCACCGGAGTTTGGGAAAGATGGGGAGAATTAGCGTCATCAATCAGATAATGTGATGGAGTATGTCGGTTAGCCTTGCATGAGCTCCATTAGTCGTACACGCATGCATTCTATTCGATACAAATGCAATGCCGTGTAGATGACACAGTAAGTAGTAGTACACGCAACACCGGCCACCTAATGACCCTCATCTTCGCCCGGAATGACATCCACCTAAGAGATTATCAATCCAATAACCTTTGTGATGAACTGAAATGATTATACCTTGTCAAGATCCTCCAAACACTCCCCAATGATCCTAACAGCCTTCAACAGATCCTCCTCCGATATCACCAGTGGAGGCGCGAACCGAATACTGCAAAACCCCAGGTAAGAACACTAAAAGGAAAGAACGAAATCTAATCTTACATATTCACATGCGTCGGTTTTGCCAGTACGCCTCGACTCTTCAAAAGCAGGCACAGCTGCCATGCCGTACGTCCTTTGCGACTCTTACTCTCGTCTATAACGACCGCGTTCAGTAGCCCCCTTCCGCGTACAGTCTGCACCAAGGGGGAATTGAGCTTTGTAACTGAACTTCGGAAGAGCTCCCCTAGCACCGTCGCACGCTCCGCCAGGCGTTCATCAACGAGTACTTTGAGAGCCGTCATCGCTACGGCACATCCCAGCGGGTTTCTGCAACACAAATGAATCAATGTAGGAGAGGCGAAAAGACGTGCTTACCCTCCATAAGTACTTCCATGCTCGCCTGGCTTAATGCAAAGCATAATGTTCCGATCGGCAAGGACTGCAGAAACGGGATACATTCCGCCCGACAAGGCCTTGCCCAACAGGACCATATCTGGTCGGACGTTGTCATACTGGCAATCCAGCATCTTACCCGTTCGACATAATCCCGTCTGGATCTCATCACAGATCAGGAGCACGTTGTGCTTCTTGCACAAAGCATGCACCCGTGAGAGATATCCCTCTTCGGGAACAACAATTCTACCACGAACGTGTCAGTTAAATATAAATAAGTGGTAGCTGAAACCACGCACCCAGCTTCACCCTGTATCGGCTCTACAAGGAAAGCTGCGACATTCTTGCCATGCAGCTCAAGCGCTCGCTCCAAATCCTCCACCACGCCGTATCTGATGGTGTTCAGCTGGGAGCCGTCCAGATACGTCGGCCCGACACCCTCGAGGTAAGGTCCGAAACCGGTGCGGCTGTCCGAATCGGTACTCATACTATCTTTCATGAATTAACTCAGCGGAGATTCCCCATGAAGTAAAATAAACGCACCTGATGACACCTAGCGTCCGTCCGTGAAAGTTACCCTCCACACTCAGAATCACAGCCTGGCCTTCGGGAACACCCTTCTTCATATAGGCCCACTTACGTGCGAGCTTCAGCGACGTTTCGACAGCCTCTGCGCCAGTGTTCATGGGCAGAACCATATCATAGCTGAACATCTCTGTGATCTGCTGAGCGAAGCGGCCAAAGACGCTGTTGTAGAAGGCCCGAGATGAAAGGGTAAGTTTCTGGGCCTGTTCGATGAGGGTTGCCACAATCTTTGGGTGACAATGTCCTTGGTTTACGGCTCTATTACTACATGTGAGAAAAATCGAAGCAATTGAAGGGGGGGAAATACTGACGAATAGGCAGAAAGCATGTCGATGTACTCCCTGCCTTCTGGATCCCATACTCTATCAGGATCCAATCAGATCAAGTAGATTTCGGCGGCAAAAAGAACTCACTTGGCGCCTTTTGCGGAATCGAAGACGACGGGTAACGGATGGTAGCTGATGATGGCAAAAAAGCCGCAGGTCAGTGGATGTTGTATAAATGGAACAGATACGAACGACGAAATGTTATAAAGGGCGGCGATGATTCAGGGCCCTGTGGCGTCCTTCCCTGCACACGATCATGGCTCTCCTCACGTCCAGCAAGAAACAAGGAGAATAAAGGAATACTCACTTGTGTGCCCCGTACTTGCTCTCCATCTGTATAACGTCCGTCGATGTCAAGTGGATGCCACATCCGTTGCCGGAGACCTTCTCGACATTCTTGGTGCCGTTCTTGACCCCGTTGGAGTGGCCATTGGTGCTGGTGATAGCGGTTGGAGACATGTTTGTTGTTGGTTCGTTGATTGAGTAAGATTTACGAGTTTCTGTCGATGATGGTGGTGAGAGACAGAGATGCGGGGGGAGCGCTGACCAATCATAGCGAGTCGATCATCGATCATGCTCCGCCCGTCGCGCTCCCCCTCCACTCCCAAAAAATTTCTTGTTGCTCCTGTCTTGTTCCGAAGAACACGGAGGTAGCCGAAGCCGAAAGTCTCAGTACTGTATTGAAAGTTCCAGTTTAATATCCTACGCGTAGAGGTAAGAACTCGGATGATCGGAGCAGGGGGGAATTCTAAACATTCCTTATATCGACAGGAATTTGCGAGCAATCATAATCGGACTTTGTAATGTAACGGCAGCGATTTATTTGTCTCGTCACAGCAGAGGACTTTGACTGGTGGCCGACCGATCCCGAGGCCTGAGGCCTAAGGCAGCTGCCATGCTGGATATTTCTTTTCGTCTTTGCTCTACTAGAGTATTTTCAGGCTTGTTTGCACGTTGTCCCTATTTTCGCATGACTCGTAAAATATTTCGGAGCGAGCCAACGTACGTTGGGGATTAAGACGAACATTCAAGTCGTAGTTACTCTTCGGAGCGAGCCTTTTTATTAGTAACGCCCTGAACTTGACAGTAGAGGCACAGTCCGACAAAGGGAACAAAGGCACTATCATCCGGGTGGCACCAGCCTTTGTCATTCAGCACAACATTCATTAATGCACAAGTTAGGCTCTAACGCCACCCCCAACTACTTACTCTCACACTAACCTTCAACAGCAGTCTCGAGAAAGGTGAAAAAGTCCACAATACGATCGTGCCAGTACTGAAGCGACCCCAGATGCCAGATAAAGGTAAGAAACGTTGCGCGCCCTCCGACGCAGGCGAGGAGGATGAAGGCCAGTCCTCAAAGCGCATCAGAAGCAACGTAAGTGTCCAGCTGCAATCTGCCACTCATTCGTTAACGACATCTAGGCAATATTGCCTCCCATCGGCAAACCCTCACGCCTGAGAGGCCTAGGTTCTCCCAAAGCACGACCGAGGAACCGTCCACGTGCAAACGCAAACGCGCGTCGACCCACTGTCGCCTTGAACCCGTCCACGCCACTCCAAATCATTCCCCCGGAGTCTCCCTACAAACTCGGCAGTTTTGACTTTTGGCCAATCACCCACAAATCACTGGGACGTGCAGCCGGGAATAGCGTCCAACCCGATTATGAAGCAATTTTCGACGTCCTCTCAATGTGGCAGAGCCAGGGTATCATGGGTGGTGGTATTCGGTGTTTCATACCGGACCTCCCGAATGTCCAGAGCCCCAACGAGAAAGGTCGCATGTGGTGTTTCGGTATAATGTCCCAGGAGATCGATGAACTAACTATCAGTTCCCTCGCGCTTACCGACGCGTTCAAATGCGATATAGGCAACTTCCCCCAGTATCGGGATGGGGAAACCGTCGAATCGGTAGTGGGGAACGCGTTCATTCCCACAACGGAAATCGTGTCCACGTCTAGAGGTGTCTTCAAGATGAACTGCTCACCTGTGTGGACTGCGGTGTACAACGGTAGAGAGAACAATGCACTTGGGATCGAACTTTGTGAGGTCTTTGAAGGCTATCTCGATATGTCAGTAAAATATGACCCATCCGTTGCTCATGTTTCAGGGCATGCATATGAGTTCCGAAGTGGGCTCTGGGGCATACGGTCACGACGCCATGATTCTATGCCAGACTAGTCGGATGTACGCCGAGTCGATATTGGCCTGGTTAATCAACCATAGAAAGACAGGATTACTTTAGTATATATATGGTCAATGGTCGATACTGGGCACATGGTGTAGTTGGTTTATCACGCCCGCTTAGCATGCTTGAGCGATTTCCAGTATTGTGCAATGCGGGAGGTGTTGGGTTCAATTCCCAATGTGTCCATATTTTGTTTTAATAATGCAAGCGCTGAGTCGCGACGTTGGGGTTCAAAATTCAAAATTCAAACTTCCAGGTTTGCAATGTGCACTCAGCACTGTGTGGTTGATTTTTGATGATTTGGGATTCAAGATTCCAGGATGTATCTCATTGTATCTACAAGGACCAACGAAGCGGTGGTAGCTGACAGCTCACATCTTAGAGGCTCGGGATTGGTATAGATAGGAACCGTTCCTTACATCTTACATGATTGAAACTCATTACACAGGCCTGGGCCGTTGTATCGATGGGGACAGTCAGAAACGCTTTCAAATTGCGAGTTTGGCCCTACTATTGATACTGATAACCTAGTAGTTGGAACCACTGTAGCTCGATGAAGGGTTGTAGATAAGTATACTCGCAAACCACTTTGTGATATACACGAACTGCGGAGTCGGGTTTAATGGTACGTAGGCGTACAACGGAAATCCTAATATATTGCCCTAGCTCGAATTATTTCAAGACTAATAACGTTTGTCAGTAGTATTGTCGTTAAAGGTCTGGCCTAAGGCCTTGATGCAGATGTCATGATCGGAGGCAGCTAAAATAGCCTAACCTCCGAACGGTATAAATCACAGTCACAGCAACATTACCTACAATAATTCGCCTCCACAAAGACTTCTGAGCCATGGTTCCCGGAACATCTATCCTCCTTGAGCCAAATCCAGTCGCTCAGCCAGCCGAACATTCTATGCCCAATCCAATCTTGCCATACAAGGCGCCACGGCTTCGACAACATCAAGTGTTCTAACCTTGTGTGAAAGAGAAAATTCAGAGAATCATAAGCTACAAGCCAGTGTCAGCGTAATCACAAAAGACCTTTCTTTTAGGACTTACCGACGTTGACCTGAGGGTTAACGTATATTTTCGGGCGGTGGGGAGTGTTCCAGAAATGCATGTCAATAGCTATAAGGTAACACTCCGACGACGTGCATTCGGTGCTGCCTCTAAACTGCAATGGTAGCGGGGGTAGATAGTCTCCGGTAGGCGTAGGGTTGCTCCGGTCCAACTCTAACAAAAATGATGAGAAATGACAAAGACAGTATGCTGCGAGCTTACTGGGCAAGGACCCCGCAAGGAACCACGTCGCGTCGAAAACAGCCACTCCATTCCAACAGCTGGCGACCTCGATGGGTTCACCTTTCCGGAGGCTTTTCACAGCACGAGAGTCTGAGGAAAAGTACGGCCAGATTTCTTTCGCTGTCCTTCCACAGGCGTCCCGTACTACCCAACTGATAGAAGTGTTAGGGGGAAATATCGCGTAACAGAGAAAGACTTACATATCATATAGTCCCACTCCATCAAAGTCAAGAGCACAAGCAAGGTCATAATCCCCGTCCTTCGTACGGATTAATCGTACAATAGCTCCTATTGAAAAGGCGAAGTCAGGATACGCGAAGAGACGGACATTGAACGAAAAGACCAACTCCAGTCAAAATAAACATCGTTGAAAAATAGGACTTTGGAAAATGTCTTCCCATCTTGATCGCCCATGACGCGTAAAGGCTCCAGGACCTTGTTCCTAATATCCGCCATGTAGGAGATCCGTTTGGGGCTGTTCAGCCCCCACCTATCCCTTATTCCCTCCTGCACCACTATGTGGTTCCCGACACCCCGCTCGTCGAGTTCCTTCTGGAACATACGCAGAATCTCCTGCGTCCCGTCATCGGAATTTGACTCGTAGATTGATACGAAGACGTTGTGTCGGCCAATGTGGTCGATGAGGAGTTTCATCTCCTTCGTCCACATGGGTAAGACCTTTGCTGAATTATACAGATTGGCCGCGATATAGTACGTGCCATTCGATGGAAGAGGGGATATGGGGGCATCATTGCGGAGGTAAGAGGAGGAAGAGTATATCGGCGCGAGGAGAAGGAAGAGACACCATGTAAAGCACAGTCGGAATCGTGTTCTTCTCCGCGAGGTCCACCGAGACCAGTTAGAGATATGTGCGGCGTCAAATATTACTAATGCCGGTATACATACTGTCACAAATGGAAGATATACGAGGAACGTTGAAAAGTACCCCAAATAGTAGGCGAAGAAGATAGCGGTAGTGATAGAGAATGCTGCGCATGCGATGAGGACAGGGTGGTAGTGGAGGAGGGTCGCAATGAGAGTCCTTCTGTGTTTGCGGTAATGGTAAGTATCCCTCATTGCTGTTCATGATCAGAGAGAGTGTGTGGTGGATAGTCGCTGCACCGCCCCACGGCGCCCACTGGCACGTTACTATCGAAAGCTGTGAAATGCAGTGGCATGTGACCCCATTTAGTTTTGTATTCTTCCTTACGATGTGTGCAACTTACCTCGATAGACTTTAGTTCGATAGTTTCGAGTACGAGCGCCCAGGACGTAACTTATAGGAGAAGGCGAGGGATAGTTCGGGTATCTCCGAAAAGCCTAATACTTATTGCTTATTGCTATTCACCCTATATACTCGGTACAATAAAGCCAGCGGAGCCTACAGGTTCCAAAATAACGCTGAACGCACCAACATAGACTTGCGCACCACTATCAAATACTTGTTCTGAGACCACTTCAGCTATACCAACCTGCGCCAAGAAAAGCACCTTTTCTTCATAGTCCAAATTCGTCGCCAAAACCAATGTGTCCTTGCCTACCGTCCACATACCTACATCGATGAAGTCAGAAGTCGTCACTTGCTGGAACTTGGCTTTGGGATTCAGAATGAATGGAGTGATTTTCGGAAGGGAAAGCGCTAGAGTTGAGGCGGAGGCTTTGACATCGGCAGATGTAGGATCGTCCCACGATACAACACCTGTTAAAAATACCAGATCAATATATTTATGTACAACGGTAAGGAACGGATGATTACCCAGAGCTCCATGGTTGATCCCGATGATACTCTGAACAATGAATTCTTTCCCAGTCGGGAATCTCTTCCAGTACCTGTACCAAAAAAAAACATCGTGAGTTCTCGTCAGATGGATGGAGAAGAATAAACATACGACTCGTTCCCAAACGCCTGCGGGACCGCCCAGACCGCCTTATTTAACTCCCAGCCATTAATAAATATCCTCTCCCGAAACTCGTCTTCCCTCGTCGATATATCCTGAAAGGAGCCTTTACAATTATCACACCCACAATCACCGTAATCAGTCGTGCACACTGTTCCCCACTCGCTTGAGAACGTAACATTGTTCCCGATCATGTATGTATCCTGCATGACGATATCCGCCCCACTTGCGTACGATGTGAACTCGTAGTTCTCGCAGTTAAGCACGAGGGATACAGGGTGGTAGCCGGACCCGCCTCGTCCATCTCCGCCGTCAAGCGAGGTGATGAGGTTTGAAGATAGAAGGGTGGCGTCGAGCGGGTCGGAGGTGCCGTCTGGTTCGTCGGCGGTGTACCATAAAAGAAGGTTTGACCGTGATTTGATGCGATTGACTTGCTCGGTCACGGATGTACTATTCATATAAGTTCTAAACGGCGATGAGAGGACTCCAGGAGGAACTACGGAGATATTCTTACGCTCTCATGTCGTACATGAGGTAGAGGCCTACTCGCTCCATTTCATCCAATACCTCATCGAGTGCCGTCAGATTTGAAAACGTGGGCACCGGATGAATCTATGGCGTCGGTTACTCGTGGCAGTTGCATCAGAAGAATCAAATCCATACAATATTGAATCTGTCAAAATGTCAGAATAGGTAATATATTTGGGAATGGATACCAACCCTTGCTCCTTCAGTATTCCAATGGCGGATAAATTGACGGCAAGATAGGAGTCAAACTGGGTGTAGAAACCAATAGGAAAAACTCTTTCGTACGCCCCATCTTTGTGCGCTGGTCGGGCAAGTAATCCTCCGGTGCGCATGTCCATTTTGGTAACAGAACCAATACCACGGGGAGGCGTAGGAAGATAGCTCAGTAACGACGTCGTCGCGAATCGCTCCCCGGACTCTATCTCTCCTACACAGGATATGTTATACGCCTCGGTCCTTGGAGTTAAAGCAGACAGGGATAATGAAAGAGCGTGTTTCGATGCATTGATGGGTACCCTTCCGCTAGCCAGAGTCTTCCCTTCAGCAGACACAGTCACCTTCAAAGTAGTGCTGAGAGCGTCAGTGAAAGGTGACGCGCCGGTAATAAGGGAGTATGTGATGGGGGCATCGACGAGGATGGATACGGCTGTTGGGTCATCAACGATGCCGTGGCGATCTTCCGGTAGGTACGGCCGAATAGCTTGTCCACATCGTAGAGCAAGCAGTGGTGTGGCGGACCTTTCAGGAACTGGAAATTGACCGCCTGCAGTACAAGGTCAACGTCTGCCGCTGCCTCATCACGATGAACTGACCCGGGAACACGATCGGCTCGGTGCTCATGTAATTCTTGTTGCACCTATAGCCGTGTGAAACTTGATTCGCGCTGTGGAGAAATTCGCGCTTACCATGTCTGCGCTGACACCAGCGATAGCAAAGATACGAGCACGACCAGGGACATCGTCGTGGTCTGGTCGAGAAAGAGTCCAGCGAGCCATATGCTCTACGTCGGCGTTAGAAGCAAGGCAAGGTCGCGTGCCTCAGAGGAAGCGGATTTGTCGAAATCGTCACACATCTACGCGCGAGATAGACTTTCCAGGAGATAAACGTGCCGAAAGTTCTGATGCGGAATGATGGTTGTCAGGTAATGGAGAATGAAGCCGAAGAAAGGGGGGCGGTAAGAAGATTAATGAGTTAAAAGGATAAGAAATTGGGTTTCAAAGCACCCACCAGTAGACCAAGTAGCAGCACAAAAAATGGTAGGTAAAAGGTGCAAAAAGGCTATATCAAAGTTTGCATTAGCGCGACTTAAGTCAAATCAAACTTTGCAAGTACCAGCCATCCGAAGTCTGAGAAGACGGCCTACAGAACTTGAGTACTTGAGTACTTGATGGTCTGAGGGAATAAGACGGCCCGAGACGGCCCGGCTAGTCGCTTCTCTTAAGGGCCGGAGTTTGAACTGTG